TAGTTGGTTGCAGTCTTGCAACGACCCCAAGCTTAGGTGCTCAAGCCAGTGATCAAGACATGGCGCAGGACTCGAGCGACACTGGGGGTGGGCGCACATTTGGTTGAATTGTGTTTTCCACTAACCAGGCAAAAAAATACAGTTGTTTGCTGGGGTCCTAATTCCAGCCAAGGTTTAATTTGATTGCATGGAGTGTTCATGAAACTGCTAGGATGCAGCGGTTCATATCGGTGAGTGGCATGTCTAATGCTCTGGAATGCGATGCTTCCGGGGCAACATGTTTGTGTAGTTGTTAGAGCTCTGCGTGTTTAGTTTGCCAGGTTTTTTGTTCATGTACAACACAGATCCATGCTGAAGCTGAAACAACAAAACCTGCCCACATCACTCTGCTAGCAGTCCCTCGTGTGACACATTGTTTCCCCGGCCGGCCTTCCCGCTGGACAATTCCCGGCTGAAAGAGAGCATAAAATTGACTAACGTGCTGCTGTTTGTGATGTAGTGACGCATGTGTATAGTCATCACAAGGTTGCTTATCCCCACTCCTGTCTAAATGGAATTGCGGGAGGGGGGTGAGACTAGAGAAATGGAATTGGGGGACCCTCCACCCCCCTCCCCTTAAGGTAGGTGGGATGCAAAGTTCATGTTATGTCATGATGATATGAATGGTGAACGTAGAAGGGTTCTCCACCCTGAAATTGTGGTGTGTCAAGTCTAATCGCAGAAGCACCGGGCAGGCCAAACCTATTTCCGTATTGCTGGTTCGATCCTTGCTGTGCTCCAAGGCCCTCAATACCATGAATCAACTGCTTAGTCAAAGCTTCACATATTTTCGCATAGGTCCTTTGATTTTTTTTGCACGTGGCTTTGGCTTCGAAGGCGGTTGTCCTTCGGATTTGTTTTTTTGGTGTCTCGTAACGTAGCCGGGCCGGTCAGGAGAACTGGGAGCCACCTCGCATGCTGTGGCTGGCGGTCCTTCCCTCCCTGGTGCTCTTTATGTTCTTGTTTGACAGGCTGCCACTTGTCCGGTCTGTGCAGATGTGCCAACCTTTTTGATACTCTGCGCATCAGATGTTGTCGAGTTTTGCTCATATGCGCCCGCGGGCGCAAAGTACCAGATCAATAAAACACCGGTGGTTTGCTTGCCATGGTAAGTTTGTTTTTTTTGTGTGTGTGTGTGTGTGTGTGTTGCGGTTTGCTTGCTTTGCGCTGCTGCCGCTTGCAAAATCTTACTTTTGCATACGGAAAGCGCGACACGGAGGCTGGTTGCTGTTGATCGCTCTGAGGCTTCGTCGTCGGAGTTATGCATCCTTGATCCCGGCCCGGCTCTCTGTTCCCACTGCCCAGACACGCTCTGACAGCGTTTCTGCATCACCCCCTTATAAATGGAATTGGGGGAGGGATTTCGATTCCTGGAGATCTCCGCTTAGTTTCATGCTGGCAAGCAGGAGCGGAAGACTAGATCAATGGAATTGGGGCATGGCGCTGTCAGCGCCTGGCTATCAACCCCCCACTGGGACCTGTGAGGCCTTTGTTCTGATCATTGTGACTCTGGCGTGCACCTGTGTCGGCATCATTGACGTGCGTGCCGCCATGGGTGCTGGCATTGCCTTCTTTCTTTGGAGGCGCGATGCGCTTGCGCAAAAGTTGTTTGCAGCATGTAGAGAAAACTGGCTGTGGCTCAAAATTCTAGCGCTGGGGTTACGCAGGTTTTAGTCTTTGGTTACGTTTCCCAAGGTGCCAGTTACATTTATTTTGAGCCACAGCCAACTGACTGCCGGTTTGCTTCAACTCCAGGTTTTTCGTGGTGCCCTTCACTTCCTTCAGCATCAAAGACAAGCTGGCAGAGTCAGCAGTCTGATTGATCTGCGAGCGCTAAAAAGCTGACAACTAGAGCCAGCTGAGATCGCACCTGTCTTTTGAGGGAACGCAAGGGGGGTTTGCTGGAAACCAATGGCAAACCACTGGCTTGGGGGGTCCTACTATGATTTGCATACGCGTAAGGTGTAAAGTTTATCAGAGACGGCTTCCCTTTCCGCCTTAGGTCGCCCCGACGGGAGCGCCCGCCTTTGCGAGACAGCCCAGTGCAAGAGGCCTCGTAGCGTTCATGTTTGCGCGTGAAGATTGCTTCCCTGGTGGCCGTCACAATTCATAGGCCTCCGAGTCTTTATTCGCTCCCACTCTTTGGCACAAAGCAATTCAATTCTTGGGAAGGAGTCGTCACGTTTTAACGGAAGATGTGACGGTGTGCAGCACATGTTGAGAGGCTTTGGCATTTCACCAGCATTTAGCGGACAGCATCGACGCTGATGCCAGGCGCGCAGAGAGTTTCGCAGCAGCTCACGTGGATGTGGGTGTGTCTTTTTTCAGGTTGGACCCCCCAACATGCCGGTGTTCCTTTAGTTTCCCTTCAATTTCACAAAAAAAAAAAAAGAAAAAAAAGAAAAGGGAGTAACCTCAACAAACGCACCATCCCCACCCCTTTCTAAATGGAATTGGGGGTCCCACCCTCCACCCCCCTCCCCCCCTTAAAAGTGGACCTACTGCACCTGGCAGGCGGAAGCTGGAGTCCATTGACCCTTCGAGGGCCCGGAGCTCATGCGCGTCATTGCGCGTCTTTAGGACTTGGAGGTTGGCTTGTCCAAAGCGAATCGAAAGGATCAAACTTGGCTTTCCAAGTTTGGTCCATTTTTAGGTAGCCATGGTTTCTAAAGGGTTCACCGTCTTTTTCCAGGTTCTTTGGGCAACTAAGCTGCGGTGCTCCTGTTTCCCTTTAAACCCAACGGACCGACTCAAGAGGAGCCCCTCAATTCCCGGTGCTGAAGTGCGCCTTAGCGCGAAGCGCCAGAGTCATTGGGTTCAATCGGTAGGGACGCCTGGAGGAAGCAACAGACCAAGGCTTCAGCTGCCTTCAGTTCTAGGTTTTGGGGTTTTTGGCCTTTACCAAATATGTACATAATATAGATATATATATATATATTCTATTTATTCGTATGAATATGCATTGGATTTTGATGTTATCGTTACATTCCTTGGCGACGGAAAAGCACACTTCGGCACAGCTTGTTGGTAGAGCTTGTCACACAGAACTTCGATGCACTTGAACCCTGCCAAATCATTAGGTGATTTGGCCTGCATGTTTTTCGGACCGAGGCATGGCGTGTTTGGGTGGCGTGTATTTCGCACAGGGCATTGCGTCTACATTTGTGGCAACCTATGGAATGAAGTCACAAGATCCCCAAGCGATCGGCATTTGTTTCGTGCGATTTACCTATAGGAGGAACCACCCAACATTGAGATTTCAGCAGCGAAGCAATCTTACGGACAACCATAAGTAGAAATGTATAGGCGCAAGGCATATGCACTGATGCGTTTGGTCAGTGAGCTAGGCAGTCGAGATCATTGAGGATGTGGCCAGGCGAACTGATGCACGAAGCTCAGCTTGCCAGACAGAAAGATGCCGTGTGAGGCGCTACCCTCCAATCATGGAAGCTGACTCAAACAGCAGGGGGGTAGAAGAAAATGTTTCTTGTGGGAAGCCAACTGTCCAGTTCCATTTCTGGAAAGAGGATGCCCTGCCTGCCACTAACATCATGGCACCTGGGAGGTGCCAGGACCATGTGTTTCTTACAGGGACCGGGTCGTCAGCTTCCATAATCCACAAGCCTCGAGAGGGAGCGATCCAATGTGTGAGGTGCGCAACCCGTCGGCCTTCGTTATCAAAGCAGCGACGGCCGTGATGCTTGGGGGTCACTCGAGAGCGACAAAGCACCTGGGTCCGGGCATTCGAAGCTTGGTGGTTCCGAGCCATCCGGTTCTTTCGGTTTGTAGGTTCTTAGGGCATAGTGGGTGTTTCCTTTTAATCCACTAAAAGTTAAACTACAGCCCAGGAAGCACGTTGCGCACGTCCCCTAGGAGCATCCAGAACACGTTACATTGCAAAGTGCTTTTGGCCGAACGCTTTTATTCGAGCATCTTTCATTGATGGACAAACCCTTGCCAAACCCGAGCTGTTCACTCCTTGCTCAACGGCCAAGACAGAATCGTGCGCAAGCATTGGTTCGTCATCTCGACATGGCATGGGCCCACCACCCTGGCGCAAGGAAACAAAAGAAGGTTGCATGGCAGAAGCCTTGCTTTCCAGGCTTTCACCGTCACTACAGCCTCTGAAGCAATTGCTAAGCATTGCCCGTTTTGATTAGTCAGGTGCAGTAGGCAAATGAGTTGAGTTGGGATGGGCAAAGGGCTGATCTCCAGGCTGCTGTTGGGGGGGGGTTGGAGTTGGCTTGGAGCCGATCTGTGCTGGTGCAGCTGGTTTAGCAGCAGCTTCATGGTTGCTTTTGGGGTGTCCAACTCCAACTCCATCCAGCAGCCTGGATATCAGCCCTTTGCCAAGCGTAACTGAACTGCAAGCAGAACAAGGCCCGCCCACAGCAAGATCGAATCCAGCCTAAAACCCACCGGAAAAAAAAAAAAAAAAAAAAAAAAAAAAACACCAACCCGGAGCAAGTCCCAACTGCCGCCAAATCAGAGCCAACAGGCAACCCTAGGTCCAAGTGAGCCTGGCCAACCTAGGTGCACTGAAGGGCATCACACCAATACCATGTCATGACCTATGTTCAGACAGAACCCGTTCAAGCATCGCTGCTCTCGATGCTTGATGAAGCTTGCCAAGCGACCTGTGCCAAGTTTCAGCCTAGTGTTCTTGTACGTGCCAGAAATCATTGAGAGCAGATGCGAGCGGCAATATAACGGATATTGCTTTGTGAACACATGCAGGAGCCATTCTGATTGCTAAGTTCTCGAGGCCTATCCTGCACCTCGCATCGAGCAACGCGACCAGCCCGAACAGCATGCGTACGTGGACGCAGTGGACTGCATTTGTCATGCAATCTTGCTTGCTCAAGTTGCTTGGTCTTTGTCGTCATGTTAAGCAATGCCGGGATGTGCTTTCATGCCTACGAACCTTCCCACCAATCAACGTGGAACCTGACAGGGCGTCCCTTTAAAAGGAAAATGGTCCAAAACCAGGAACCCCGAACGTCAGGTTCCATGTCAATTGGTGGGAGGGTGGCAGGGTACATACCTTCAACGTGCATTTCCGGCTTCGTTGCAAATGCATTTGCATAGAGCGGCAAGGAGCAACTGGTTGCCCGCTACCCGCGGCTCAGGGCGGACTTGGATGAGGCGTGTCGCTGTTGCAGCAGTCTTTGAGTTCGGTGCCGAGTTCCATCCTCGACCTTCGCTTCTCTCGATTCCTGCGGCTGGGTTTATGCCTGGCGAGGAAAACAACCCCCCCCATTTTTTCCAGCTGGTAGAGCGATGTGCATGACAAACTAGCGGTGTTTTCATGCTCAAGGGCAATGAAGGGCGTTGATTCTACGTGCGGAAGAAACGGGTGTGTCATTTTTTTTACGGAACCCCACAAATTGGTGATTCTGCGTGTGTGTTCCTTTGAAGCCACCACACACGAGGGTACCCTCCCAATTAACATGGAACCTGGCGCAACCAGGTCCTGGTTTCGACAATGTTCCTTCTAAGTCGGGACCGGGCCCCGAACTTCAGGTTCCATGTTAATTGGGGATGCTCCAGAGCAGATCTCAAAGTCAGACACACTGCGCAACTCCTTGCGTGCACAAGTCAGCAGTTGACCAACTGGGAGGCTACCAACTCCACACAAAAGACGAGCACCGCTTCGCTTGGCCAGGACGCCATGGCTCGGCTCAGGGAGGTCGACCTTGACCGCGCAGAGGAAATCATTGAGGATGTGGCCCACAAAGGCGAGCCATGCACAGAACGGCGGGAACCCCCAAAAAAGCAGCGTGCCATTTTCTACACGAAGCTCCCTTCGGATCCAAAAGGAGTTCTGTTTTTGGGCTCCAGGTGTTTTTTTGCAGGGAAGCGTTCTAGTCTTAGAGCAAGGGTGCAAGCCAACTTTGCGCGCTTGCAGGCCATATCAACAATCCGTCCGCCTTTATAGTCAAGGCCGGTCACTTCCGGTAGATGCTGTGGTCCACATTTTATGAGCCTGCAGAGTAGCTAGCGCATGTTGTCCATTTGATCCTGGCGGCTGCAGCGCGGTACCAGGCGGTTGCTTCATCCTCTGTCCGAAGAACGCGGGATGATCTGGCGCTGGCCCGAGTGGTGAACAAAAGCTTTGGGTAAGCGGTTGCTGATGGACAAAATCCTGCACCGCTTTGAAACCATGGTTGAAACCGTTGTTGGTTGGTATTTCCCGGGGGATACCAACATATACCAACTGCATTTCTGTAGGATTTCGCCCATCCACAGCCACGGAATCGTTCCTCCCGGAAGTCGAATGGCATCGTTTGAAGCTCAGGTGGAGCAACGCCGTGCGAGGAGCTGGATGGTGAATGGGCAAGCCGAGTGGTTTCCTTTTGCAACAATGCTCCAACTTGGGGTAAAACTGCCATATGATGGTGGTTGTGGTTCCAACTTGGTGGTTTTTAGGGCGGCCAAGCCTTTGAGGGGTAAAGCTTTCGCTTCGAGTGCCTCGAACGAGGAAAGCCCTTTGCGGCAAGTGCCCTGACCAGGAGCCCAGAGCCCAACGGCTTTCACGAAGAGCGGAGGAGTCGTGGAGAGGACGACCAGATGTCAGATTCCAAATGGTTTCATGGGTGGTCGTGCAGCTGACATCGCCGGACAGAGCTGCATTGACCTTTGCAGGAAGACAACGTGGAAAGCCGAGCCTCGCGAGCCGGCTTGGCATCGGCCTAAGGTGTCCCAAACGAACGGTTTGTAAGGCGAACACGTGGTGGCATGTGGTGGATTGCTTGGAGGCTGTAGCTTGCGCAAGCCAAAAATGCGACAGAGCCAGGATGATGACGCCATGAGGCCAGCATGGGCGTTCGGGTGTTCGTGGGTGGAATTGTGGGAAGTGTTGCAAGTTTCCCAAGTGAGGCTTGCAACAGCTAGAACTTGTTGCAAGCGTCAATATAGTGCGGTTATGCTTGGCTAAGTGGTCAGCAAACATCGCCATCCCAAAATGTTTCAACAAGTCCATAAAATGTGCCAATGCAAAGTGTATACACAGTTTGATCATTTAACTCGCTTGGTGCGGCATTGGGCTTGGCAGCAGAGCTTAGGAGGCATGTGCTTAGGAACGCCAGTGCGACATGATTCAACATGCATGTTGAGATTTTGCTTTACGTGCCTGCCACCCGTCAACCAAGTCAGGAAAGCCAGCTTAAGCTAGATGAGGTTTCTCCTTGCGTTTGCAAGGGAAGGGGCTGAAGTGCCGAAAGATTTATTTTGAGCCAAGAAGGTTGCAAGAGTCAATTATTTAGACCCCCCCTTCCAAGGCTCGAATCCCCCCTGGTCCACCCCCTCCCCCGCCCTCAAGCGTTGACTTGGACCCAGAAACACATATCCGAGTCCACTTTCGTGGTCTTCCTCAGTCTTCTCAGGAAAGCACCTTGCATGAATCCGTGCGCAAGCAACATGCAGAACGCAGGGGTGCTTTAAGACGGCTTGAGACACTTCTCTTTATTTTCATGTTGAACGGTTTGCCGGGCCTTTCTAGCTTTCGTTCACCCCCTCCTCAAGTGCAGCAGTCATCCACTTCATCAAGCAGCGCTAGTGCCATGTCGCAGGGAAGTGTCGCATCCTTTCCCCATTGTTTCCACTACTCCCTTCATGAAGAAATTTCCGCGCGCCTTTCGGTGACTCGGCAACGCTGCCCGCCATTTCCCCCAGTCCGCAGGTTCGTGCGGGCGGCCGACCCGGCGCAAAGCTCAGCAGTCATGTCAGCGTGAAGCTGTAGGTACATTCATACAGGTAAGGCACCAGGCCAACGGAGGAAGCATATCAAGTTGAAGTGGAGCCCCGCAACAGCACGTACAATGGAAGGATGCCATGCACAGTGTTTTGTTAAAATTCATGATTTTCTTTTGTCAGGAGGCACATGTCAGGAGGCACATGTGCGTGGATGGTACACGCCTCGCCTTTGGAAGCTTGGAGCCTGAAAAGCAAGGGGGCCGGTATTTCAAGCTTGTTTTTGACTATAGGCGCCGTCATTCATTCAAGTTTGTTTTTTCAAGTGGTTTTTTGTGTCTGAAAAGCAATGCTCCCATGAACCTCGCTTCCGCCCCCCCCCCAATTTGCCCCGAGGAGCGGGTGATGGAGGTGTTGCAAGAGCTGGAGTTCAAAGGGCCGGAGGCGGGGCAAAGGCAAGGGAGGGACTGCGGCTGCCGTTTTTGCGGCCGCGTGTATGTTTCGTCATTCAGCTCAAAGGGTTGTTCCTTGAACATGCTTGCAGTTCGGGTTCTCTATTATTCCTCTATTGCTTGCTGTTGTACACGCTTCATGCAGACATTCAGCCGGAAGTTGCGCACTTTTTGGTGCGGAGGTGCGGAACCCCAGCGCCTTCGTTTGTAAAGCGCTGTCCCAGTTCCGCACACCGCGGCGCAGGCTGGGCCGCGGTGGGTTGAGTGACGTGTACGCCTAAAATGTGCCCTTAGTTCAGACAGGCGTGAGTGCTTGTTGTGTAGAAAGGAACTTCAGCAGCACACGATAGCACACATCAGCCGCAGCGAAAGAAGAGAAGCAAGCGACAATATCCGGAACAAGAACAGCGGCCACGGCTGCATTACACGCAGCTTTGGCGCACTAGCAGCACTAGCAGCACTTGCTGCGCCAGCAGCACCAGCAGCAGGCAGGGTTAAGATCAGCTGCTTTGGCAGACTTTGCAGCCATAGCTGCCTAAGCCGCTTCAGCATCCTCGCAGCATGAGCGGCAGCGGCAGCAGCAGCAGCAGACACGCGGGCAGAAAACAGCGAGATGATCAACAGTGGGTCGCAAAGGAAAAGGCAAACCGCCAAATTGCTTTGGGAGTGCCGGTGAAAGCGAGATAACTTTCGCGACTGCTGGTTAGCACGCCCAATCCGCATAATGAAGTGAGTCAGGGCCAGAATGGAAGCGGCAACTCAAGGCTTGCCCTTCTTTTAAGATACTCTGTTGCAGTGAGAAAACACCCAGAAGCAAGCACACGAGAGACATCAGAGGCATCCAGTACTGCCCTGCCAGGTAGATGCAAAGCGGCAGCTGACTATCGAGAGTTGCTGCGCGGAAGGAAAATTGTGCAACGGGATTGCTGCATGAGTCAAGGGGTATGTCATGGCGCTTTGGCGCTTTGGCGCTTGGCTGCTTATGCACGCGCGTGTGTGTGAGTGTGTGCGTGTGTGGTAGTTTTGTGACAAGTCACCTGGCAAGCTCACTCGCAGCTGCATTCCTTTGCTCGCATGGCTCCCGGAAGCTTGTTCATTGCGCCTTTGATAGCCGCTTGACATCACCGGAGAGGGAACCAGCGAAATCTTTCTCAAACCACTCTTGGCATCATCCAAGGCAATACTTGGCTGTGGGTCAACAATAGGTATCTAAATTGGCTCACCCTAGTAAATGGAAGCAAGGACTAAAACCTGCGGTCCATATCCTTGTGGTTGAATTTTGACCCATACACACGACTTGCTAAAGTTTGTAGGGCATGGCTTCAGTGTGGTTGGAGAGCCATGGTAAGGCCAGACCTTGGCTTTCGGGTGTCGGGCCGCACGTAGCCGGTTGCGAAGGCCATCGTCGCGAAGGGCGACACCATGCAAATCAAGGACCTGAATCCAAGCGCAGAAATTGCCAGAACTTGTTTTAATTTGATTGGCGCCTACAAAATACCACGGCACTATGCGTTATTTGACGGCTCATGCAGTTTGAAACCAGCTGCAAGGCATTGCGAGGAGAATATGCCATCATGTATCTTATTCTACCTATGCTCTCCTTGCGGCTTAAGTTTGGCAGCCGACAGGACTTTCTGAAGAGCAAAGGTGGAAAATGGAATGCTGGGCTGAAATGTTGGATCTGGCCTGGCTCAAAAAAGGCCGGGAGCCCGCATCATACGTTCCTGCCGTCGAATTCTTTCAGCTTGCAGAAGGTGTTCTGTGATCTGGATTTGCTTATTATGATTTGCACCCGTTTGCTGCAGCTTGCAGAACGTTGGCAGGATGTCCATTTTGACCGTCAACGTGCTCATGACTCATGTTGCAATTGAGGGACAGTTTGCTCTCAGCGAAGTGCGCCCCAGCCGAGTTACACTGTTTGTTCATAGATGTTATCAACATCCAACGGCTGGAACCCAGCAAAGTCCGTCAAGGCATTTGGGGTTGTCAAAATCAGCCATGGCCGGGGGCATCCAAATTTGCTTCTCAAGAGGGAGCTGAGGAGCTACCAGGAGCTTCTGTAAGTACATGGCGGTTTTGCTGCCGACGCTTTTGTTTTGATCTTCTTGGCATCTACTCCCTCGGGTCTGCTTTTCCTTGTCGCGTGACAGCTGTCCAATGAGCACGCAATCAATATGTCATGTGTTTGCGTGTTGCTGAGTTGCTGCGCCCTGGCAGGCTACGCTTCTGCAAGGCGGGAAAGCCGCAGCGGTGCGCCATGGTTAGAATGTGCGTTCACCGCCTTTCAAGATATGCATCTAGAATCTCTCCTGTCTCGCTGACAGACTTGCAAAGCTGCAGCGCAGTCCAGAAGGTTCAGGACAAGTTTGGGCCTCGGTCTGAAACAAATGGCATGGCCAAGCAGCAAATCTGCCGAATGGCAAGGCAGAGGCACGCTGGAAAATCTTTTGCGAGAGCAGAAGGTACAAGCATGGCCTTCTAGGTCTAGGCCCTGAAGACTTACACCAGAGGAGGGCAAAGGCAGTCTCGTTGGGCTGACATGGGGCACTGACCCTGGCTTTGCGTTTCGCAGAAGTGCCTGGATCATCCCGAGTTGTGGGCATGAGAACTGCCATAGTGTTTAAGTCCCTGGTCGAGCTATCCTTTGGCCTTGTCCCGTTCCAGTCAGCCCTAGACAGACAGATCCACCTGCACACGCTGAGGACAGATTCAGCAACCGCTCAGCCTTCTTCGACAGCTTCCGAAAAGCCCGCCGCGAAAGCAGCCGCAAAGGCCCCTGTCATGGGATGCGTTTCTCTCATCAACAGCCGAAAGCTTTTGGGTCTTTGCCCATGTAGGCTTTGGAGTGGTTCGGAGCGGCTACTAGGGGTTCGGAAGTCTTCCAGGGGTTGCTGTAGGTGTTAGGGCGGATTATTCTCAATCCAATTGAGCAGCGTTTTTCTCATGATGGATTTTAGCTTCATGGGGAACTCTCAAAAGGTCCGTGAAGGTACTTGTGTGATACAACCAGTTCGCGTAGCACAGTAACATTGACACAGGCGAAGCCACTTTGCGAAAGAGTTACTTGCAGATGGCTGCCCGAAGGCTATGACAAGACTACAGAAAGATCACATGGGAAGACGACGGTTTGGCTAGAAACGATGGACCGTTTTCGCGAAGCCTCTGCGAAGCCTCTGCGAAGCCCCCGCGAAGGCCCCGCGAAGCCAACCCTTCCACGAGTTCTGGCCCCGCGTAGCCCCCCAGCAGAGCACAACCCCTGAACCTCTAAACAATGCTCAATTGAGGTTGTAACCCAAAAATGATTTTAGATTCAGTATTCGGAGGCCCCTTTATGTCCAAAACTACCACGTCTCACTGCAAATCGATAAGGAGTTAAACAAAAGAACGATAGTTCGTGCATTTGTTCGCATGCAAAAGCACAGCTTGTTGGGTACCAAACAGGCCAGACTTGGTAGCTGACATCAATGATCGCAAAACGATAGTAGCAGCGATGATTTGCACATAAATTGTTTTTTGCTGCCGAACTGTGCTTGGCGTGCTACACTTGTACTGAACGGTTGAGACTTTTGTGCTGGAGCTGCCAAAGTGTACTTTGCGTCCTACGCTTGCACTAGAAGTTGCGATTTTTGAGATGGAGCTGTTGCCCAAAGTGCACTTCGTGCAACCTGGTTGGACTGAAAAGTTGCAGTTTTCGAGCTGGGTCACGATTTCAGATTGAAAGTGCAGAAAGCACAAAACACTGCAAAACGGTAAGGAGTTAAACAGAACGATACCCCCCTCGCAATAATGTAGCTCTCAAAGCAGCAAAATTTCCCCAACCCGAATTGGAGTTGAGTTGTTTTCTGAGTGCCTGCAACGCATGAGGTCAAAGCACTCATATGTTTCTGTGAGCATGGGGTGTTCATGCTTAGCTGCTGGCAGCTTTGTCCGCAAGCCTATTTTGCGGAGGCCCCTGAGAAGCGAAATGCTGAGGAAGAGGAGCAGGCACGCAAGAGCATGCATTCACATTTGATAGGCTTTTCCGAGCTGCGTGCAACGAGCGATGAAATTCGGCGGTCACAGTGAAGGTCATTGAGCTTGCCGGGGATGTGACTCGGCAAATTTGTGAAAGCACATCAACAGCGCTTTGTTTAACCACTTTAAGTTTGATCACTCTGAAGCGGAATGGCGCATGCGTAGCCTGTTAGCGACAACAGGAGTTGAGAATAGGCACTAAAGGGAACTTCAACCTTTGCACTGAACTGGCATATTAAAAAGATATGTTAGAAGAGCACGACAACCTTTTTTCCATGTTCCCGCCTATTTGATGGCTCGATGTGTTCTTATTGAGGTCAGGGCCACCGTCAACTCCTTCCAAGGCAAGACTGGCGACTTGCCTTCAAAGAGTGAACTGAAGCGCATGTGTTTCAAGTCTTGAAGCTGCTTTACAGGATCGGTATGCAGAATTGTGCAACGGGCTAAAGGGTCAAAGTGTGGTCCACTGCACATCATTGGCAACTTGAGAACCAACACTTGTGCGAAACACAGAACACGCAGCAGACTATTTAATTGTTCAACTGGCGCTGCATAATTGAAGCGTTCTGAGCATGAAAAGTATAGTATCGCAAGTGCTTGAAATAGGTCTGTCTTTTTTTGAGGGTGCCTTTCGTTGGATGGCTTTCAAGGGCACCAAGGGAAGACAAACCATATTTTGGAGGGTCTCGAGACGATCCACCCAACTGCCTGTGCCATAAGGCGTTGACCTTCGAAAATTCTTCACTGACAAGGTGCCACTCAGAGACTCTGACGGACGGGCATGAGACAGTGACTTGCTCAAAGCAAGTTGAGGTTTTGCTAAACCTCACTGTTGGCAAGTGTTTAGTTTGTTTTTGGCTTTGTTCATCTGCAGTTGGGTTGCAAAGTAAACTCCAATCCAGTCCAGCGATATGGGTGTGTGTTTCTTTGAGGATTCGGACCCCCCAAAGTGGGTGTTTCCCTTTTTGGCTTCCCTTTGAGACCAACCAAAAGAGAGGTACCAACTCCAAACAAGACAGACCCATATGAATGTATTGCATGTCATGTGGGAGGCTTCCGGAGAGCCCCGACCAACCGCCAAGGCCAGTGGGTTTGTTGTCATGCTGTCCATAGTTTGAAAATCCGAGTAGCTTTTATTTTTTTCCCTTTGAGAGCATTTCATAGTGCTACACGCATCACATCAAGGTTCCCCTCAGGTGGTTTGGATTGGTTTCGGATTTGAAGGTTTGGTTCTTGTGGAGGGTTAATGGGAAACCCCTCCTCAACCACCAAACCACCAATCCAAACCACCAATCAGAGGGAAGCGGAATCAAGGCGCAGTGCTTGTGTTGATAGACGTTGCAAACAGCTGTTTGTTCCAGCCACCAGGGGGTTCGACTCTCACCAACTGAGTGGGAAGCAGTGCGCCGCAGCCCTGGATTTTTTGATCTTCAACTTGCTGCATTTGATTCATCAAGAGCAGTCCTCACTTGTCCAAAGCGAATCGACCTGAAATGACCTTTTGTTTTCCCATTTTTGCCAGTGGATGGTCTAGGATCCAAAAGGTGAACCTTTGTTTTGGGGCAAGCGAGAGAGCGTTGCACAAGTTGCGCAAAGCTTGGGATGGTCCGAGTTGGCAGCAAGTTGAAATCCTGTTAGGCAAGGCCACGCATCGAATCGATAGCGCGCTGAGTGAGGTGCGGGTGGGCTTGAGCCGGCATGCGCTGACAGCCAAGCACGAAAGGAACCACTTGTTTTTTGTTTTTTTTTTTAGGTTGGACCCCAACATGCATTTTTGTTGTTGGTTTCCCTTTGAGACCTACCCAAAACGGGTGCCAACTCCAAAAAGGGACACGCCCACTTTGCCTTGGCAGGGCAAGGAGAGCTTTTGGAACTTGGAGGGTGACCTCAATGCCAGCATTGGCCCGGGCAGCGTAGACCTTCGCCGCTTTTACGAGGACTGCCTCACTTAATGACCGGCTGCGCAGCGCCCTTGCTGGCGTTGTTGTTTTGACGGCGGGTCAGGACAAAAAAGATGGGGAGAAAAAGCCAGGCCAGCTTTTGGCCGAGAAAAGGATGGGGATCTTCATTTCCTTGCTTCCCAGGCAAGAAGGGCATACGTCTTTCAAGTGCACAGTGGAGCTCCTTGAAGGTTCGAGAAGTTCCAGGGTTTCTCTCCGCCAAATTGACGGTACGGCAGGCGGAGATGGACAGCCTCGACAAGTTCCTGTCGGGCGGCGCAGGCAAGGGTTGCCCTCGGGGCAGGGCGGGGGGTTGGTTGAGTTGGTCGAAGTTTCGCGTGGACAGGTTCAGGTGGCCCTCCCAACAAGAAGCCCAAAGTGCAGAAGGCAAAAGCTGAGAAGCGGGGGGCTTAATGTTCATGATTGAATGAAGCCCAAGAAGGATTCAGACAGCGCTGGAACTACATCCTAGGCCCTCAGCAGACATCCCGCATGAAGATGAAGATCACGGAAGGCGGGGGAAAGCCAATAGCTTTCTGAAAGTTGGCAGCACCTTGGGTGTCCCCCCTGTTTCGCGCGCGTGATTTCCATGTTGGCGGAGTCAAAACGGTCAGCACGCGGTGAGGTGGAAAGCTGAGCTCGCCAAGATCATGGAAGGTCGCGCTTCCATTGGGGCGCACCATTCCAAAGCTTGAGCCCACAAGGCACAAACGAATATTTATATATATATATACATATATATCTATCTATCTATATGTAATATATATATATATATACATATATATAAATATATATGTATGTCGTACGTGTATATTTCTATGTTTACATATTGAATTCACTACCCTAAAGCCGGAGCCCAGAAAATTATAATAATACTAATAATAATAAAATATACTTTAGAGCCTCTGGCTCAGTCCGCCGACATTGTCCTCTCCCTTTTCTCCTTCTTCCTCTCTCCCTTGTCTCCCTTGTGTGTTCTGTCGTCCTCTCTCCCTCCCTCTGCTCCCCATCCTCCCCATCCCCCCAAAGCCTCTCTCTCCCCAATCACCCTCTCTCGTATGTAGGTATGCATGTATATATGTATATATAATGTATGTATGTAATGTAATGTAATGTCATGTGATGTAATGTAATGTAATGTAATGTAATGTAATGTAATGTAATGTAATTGTATGTAATGTAATGTAATGTAATTGTATGTGTGTATGCCTGTATGTATGTATGCATGCATGTATGTAATGTAATGTATGTATGTATGTATGTATGTATGTATGCATGCATGTATGTATGTATGTATGTATGTATGTATGTATGTATGTATGTATGTATGTATGTATGTATGTATGTATGTATGTATGTATGTATGTATGTATGTATGTATGTATGTATGTATGTATGTATGTATGTATGTATGTATGTATGTATGTATGTATGTATGTATGTATGTATGTATGTATGTATGTATGTATGTATGTATGTATGTATGTATGTATGTATGTATGTATGTATGTATGTATGTATGTATGTATGTATGTATGTATGTATGTATGTATGTATGTATGTATGTATGTATGTATGTATGTATGTATGTATGTATGTATGTATGTATGTATGTATGTATGTATGTATGTATGTATGTATGTATGTATGTATGTATGTATGTATGTATGTATGTATGTAATGTATGTATGTATGTATGTATGTATGTATGTAATGTATGTATGTATGTATGTATGTATGTATGTATGTATGTATGTATGTATGTATGTATGTATGTATGTATGTATGTATGTATGTATGTATGTATGTAATGTATGTATGTATGTATGTATGTATGTATGTATGTATGTATGTATGTATGTATGTATGTATGTATGTATGTATGTATGTATGTATGTAATGTATGTATGTAATGTAATGTAATGTAATGTAATGTATGTAATGTAATGTAATGTAATGTAATGTGTATGTATGTATGTATGTATGTATGTATGTATGTATGTATGTATGTATGTATGTATGTATGTATGTATGTATGTATGTATGTATGTATGTATGTATGTATGTATGTATGTATGTATGTATGTATGTATGTATGTATGTATGTATGTATGTATGTATGTATGTATGTATGTATGTATGTATGTATGTATGTATGTATGTATGTATGTATGTATGTATGTATGTATGTATGTATGTATGTATGTATGTATGTATGTATGTATGTATGTATGTATGTATGTATGTATGTATGTATGTATGTATGTATGTATGTGTATGTAATGTATGTATGTATGTATGTATGTATGTATGTATGTATGTATGTATGTATGTATGTATGTATGTATGTATGTATGTATGTATGTATGTATGTATGTATGTATGTATGTATGTATGTATGTATGTATGTATGTATGTATGTATGTATGTATGTATGTATGTATGTATGTATGTATGTATGTATGTATGTATGTATGTATGTATGTATGTATGTATGTATGTATGTATGTATGTATGTATGTATGTATGTATGTATGTATGTATGTATGTATGTATGTATGTATGTATGTATGTATATGTATGTATGTATGTGTATGTATGTATGTATGTGTATGTATGTATGTATGTATGTATGTATGTATGTATGTATGTATGTATGTATGTATGTATGTATGTATGTATGTATGTATGTATGTATGTAATGTATGTATGTATGTATGTAATGTAATGTAATGTAATGTAATGTAATGTAATGTATGTATGTATGTATGTATGTATGTATGTATGTATGTATGTATGTATGTATGTATGTATGTATGTATGTATGTATGTATGTATGTATGTATGTATGTATGTATGTATGTAATGTATGTATGTATGTATGTATGTATGTATGTATGTATGTATGTATGTATGTATGTATGTATGTATGTATGTATGTATGTATGTATGTATGTATGTATGTATGTATGTATGTATGTATGTATGTATGTATGTATGTATGTATGTATGTATGTATGTATGTATGTATGTATGTATGTATGTATGTATGTATGTATGTATGTATGTATGTAATGTAATGTAATGTAATGTAATGTAATGTAATGTAATGTAATGTAATGTAATGTAATGTATGTATGTAATGTAATGTAATGTAATGTAATGTATGTATGTATGTATGTATGTATGTATGTATGTATGTATGTATGTAATGTAATGTATGTATGTATGTATGTATGTATGTATGTATGTATGTATGTATGTATGTATGTATGTATGTATGTATGTATGTATGTATGTATGTATGTATGTATGTATGTATGTATGTATGTATGTATGTATGTATGTATGTATGTATGTATGTATGTATGTATGTATGTATGTATGTATGTATGTATGTATGTATGTATGTATGTATGTATGTATGTATGTATGTATGTATGTATGTATGTATGTATGTATGTATGTATGTATGTATGTAATGTATGTATGTATGTATGTATGTATGTATGTATGTATGTATGTATGTATGTATGTATGTATGTATGTATGTATGTATGTATGTATGTATGTATGTATCCTTGCATTTCCCTTCTGCTTCCCAGTATTTCCCGCAAAAAAACACGGATTTTTCGGCGTTTTCGCAAAGAGGACGTCCAAAAACACAGTTTTTCCCGATTTTCGGCAAAAGGATGCAGGAAGCCCAAGCCAGCAAAAAAGCCGGCAGGGGGAATCGATCCTGGGACCCCTGTTTTGCGACACCGGCTCCCCGAAGACCACGTTTAGTGGAACGTCGTCAAATTGCCGCCGGGGTAAGGTGGGGGGGTATCCTCTATCCTCTAGTAAGTATCCGACACGCCGAACAACGTCGGCGGATATATAAATATATATATATATAGATATATATATAGATTTTCATGTGTATGCAGCCGCGGATAGGTTCTTACGAGACATGCCAATCTCTGTTGATGGGCATCTATCTCCTAAGCAGCCTTTTGGGGGGAAAATGGTGTGTGCCATTTTGTTTGCAGTTTGTTTTTTGCGTTTTGTGGAAAGGAAACCCAAAGGGAACACCACAAATTGTGTTGGCTTGGTTGAAAAGAGCACACCCAAGGAAACCCGTTGCGCCAAGCGTTTGTTTGTTTGTCTTTTCCGGGGGGGGGGTCCAACTCCTAAGCCCGCCCTCTTTTTTTCCTTTTCGTCGTCAGCTGGGAGCTTTTGTAGGTCCAGCCGCACATTACTTCGTGGCAGGCCGTGACCTTCAGCAGCTGAGTTTGCGGAAGGTCCGTGGAGAGTTGGAGGCAAGCGGAGCGATCGCTGGAGTCAGCTGGCTGTGGGTCAAAACCAATGGGATCCCATTTTGGGCTAGGTGCACCACCCATTTTAGAACCTATTTTAGTGGTTGGATTGGTTGATGTTGGGTTTTGACCCATGGCCAGCTCTAGGGCTACCATCCCGATTCTTTCCAGGGATCCTTTAGACAAGCTCCAGAAATGCAGGGAAAACGACTGGTGATTGAAAAGGAGGAATGGTTTAAAAGAATGGGGAATCAACCCCTGGATTAGTTGTGATCGATCGGGGCTTGATTTTTTTTGAAGTGGATAGGGTGGCTTTTCTTGGAGTTGGTACCCTGTCCACTGACATGGAACCTTATTTGCTTTGGGTCGTCGCACTTTCTCGCACTTCACTGTCCACAGCCGGCCATGTGCTCCCCGTTTGCATGAATCATATGTGAGGCAAGTGGCTTGAGTGGTACGCCACCCCCACTAAACCTTGTATGAGCTCCGCATGACCTCTGCGGAAATGCAGACGGGTAGAGGACGTATGCGCATGGAGGCCACGCAGTAGTGCTAGACCTGCAATTGAAAAAGTATCCTCTATTGTGGCAATTTATTTTCGCAATTCAGGATCTTGTGACCGTTTTGGGGAGCTCAATTGTGGCATTGTTTTTGCCGGAAAAAATGCCGGGGACACATCCGGACAAACGGCTGGCAAAAAGAAGTCGGACAAAACACGAGCAAACAAATCCAGGCAGGCATTAGGAATTCCTTTGGCTCCCAAACCATCAAATTTAAGACAACTTCTTTACACAAAAGTAAGGGCAAACAGTCACACAAAGGGGGGGTGCCCACAAAAGGCCCTAGGCCTCTTTCTGTGACTGTTTTGGGGTCGTCTTTGGTGTCCAACTCTGTTGGGGGTTGCTGAAATTCTCAAATTAAAACCTTAGCCTTTTACAGTAACAAGGGTGGTTCACCTAACCAAGCTCTTCCCAGCTCACAGCCCTTTGACGCCTGCCACGGAGAACGTGCCAAACGCTCGTGTTCAGAAATTGCTGCCGGCCAGGCAGCGCTGAATTTGCCAGAGGATGCGCTACTGTCACGCAAGGAGGAGGCCAGAGTTGTATGACATATCGGGGGGTCTTTTTTAAGGTTGGAATGGCAAGTTGTCCTTCTGGTTCCCTTAAAGGCCACAACAACAAACCCAAATCGATGGGCCACCCAAAAGCAAGTTTCGCCTTCCGATCATGGATGCCCTAGGTGAAGAACCTTGTGACCAGTATCATCCAAGGCCGGCAACCGCTCTTGGCGGTTGCCAGCCATCCGGTTCCTTACTTGCATGTTCGATTTGCCAAGTTAGTAAGTGGCGATCGCCATATCTGGGGTATAACCCGTATAACAAGGTTATCCCCCACTTGAGGGGCTTATGAGTGGGTTATAACCCAGGTTGCCAACAACTTGCTAACTTGGCCGAACACCCAGGAATGTACTTTGCAATGTTCAATTGAGGCAAGCTTGAAGTTTGCAAGATAAGCCACCAACATGGCATGCGCACTGCGTTGCTTAGTAGGCCAGAGCACTTGATGCTAGAGTGAGGGCTGCCGCGTTTGTTTGTAGTCGCGCCTTGAGAAGTGTTGTACAGCAGGGCCCGCACGACAGTAGCAATTACAGCCGGCAGGCCACTTAGGCAGTTGTAGCCCAGCGCTAGCCACTGGGGTCAGAGGCTTTGCTGCTTTGCAGTGGATGTGGGCAAGCCGCAGTGCCAAAGCGGCGTTGACTCTCTCATGCAAGACCAAAAGAAAGAACAATCAATCCAGACACTGTCTCGCGGTGTAGGTGGTGGTTGGGGTGAGTGTTAACAAGGTGTGGCATACGGGAGATGCATTAGCTTCCTAGGATTTTTTGCTTCTCTTTTAGTTTGCCCTCCAAGCTCTGGTATGACAATGGGCACGCGAACTCATGTTTGGCTCAAGCTGCTACCTTTGCCTTTGGCCGGCAGGGTTGGCGGATTCCATGCAACTCAGCTCGAGTAGGGCCTGGACTAGTGTCCAGAGACCCATAGTGCAGTTTCTCAGAAAGTGTGCAATTGCTGCGCGCTTTCCGCGGCCAAAGCGGCGGGAGTTTGCATTTTGCCCTGAGGTAACCGTCACGGCCACATTTTACCATTCTTACTGGTGCTCGCCTAAGTTGCCCACAGGAGGGCGCGCCATGTAAGACATGACAAACATTGCTGCCAGCCAGCGTCGAAGATGCGGGGTCGGAACTCCTTTGGCTTCGTGCTAAGACTGTCGCCCCCATTGTGGCGACATCTATGATAGCACCTTGGCAATGCTAGTGAGTGCTGAGCGCAATGCTCAAATTTGGCCGATGGGGGGTCGTTGGAGCTAGCGATGCACAGACTGCCTGTGAGAGAGTAAGATATGAACGCACAAGGCAGCAGAAGAGAACCTCAGATTTATCACCACAGTGAGTATGCCAATCTGAATTCATCTTAGGTATTGCAGCTGGCGTACATCCTGTGCGTTTGGCCAAGCCCCCAATGACACACCAAGCTTGTTGACGCTTTGCCATTGCTTTCCAAGCTTGTAGCATGCAGCCGTGACCAGAGAATATAGCTTAGGCAAATAGTGTTTATTCCAGGGGTATGTATGGCGCTTTTGGCGTGCAGAAGACGCAAGACGTGATGGATGGACAAGCCACAGCTCATGCCGGATACCGTAAGGTTTTGTATTGGAGCTGATGGGCAGGTGCCAGCCAAGGCAGGGTGCGGCGGTGCATGAGGCTTCTGAACGTGTTGTGTTATCGCCTTGATGCATCCTTATCGGGGGACACTAGTCGCTTTCGCATGGTTCTAGCAGCTCAAAACATGGTCGAACCAGTAGAGAGCGAGCATGATTGTAGCTTGCCGTCAGGCGGATGAAAATCCAAGCTGCTCAAGCCAGGAGGCAAATCCAAAGAACTTTGCTGTTGACGGGCATTCAGTAGTGAGACAAGTAAGCGCTGCGAACACTGGGTCAGCAGGGAAATGGTTTGATTCCAATTTGGGGCAGAAATTTTGCAATGGTTGGGCAGCATAAATCGAGGCATTATATATATATATATATATGGCTGAGTTTCGCAAAGCGATCCACCACACCCCTTGTGTGACACATTAAATTTGCCTTCCTCATCCCTCTTGTGTTTGCAACTGTTCGCAAGTGCAGGGGCCAGCAGATGGCCAAAGGAGCCTGATGCAGGCACGCACGCGGCTTTTTTTCTTCAAAAAACGGCTTGGCGGCTTTGCTCAGGTGGCCAGCGAGCGTAAGGCGCAGCACCCCGGAAGTGGCCGGCCCTTGCCATTGGAGGACCGGTTGAACCGACGCATTGAGCATACACTCCCTCAGAACATGGAAGCTGCCATGAAAATGTCTACGGGAGTGTACGAGGGCTCCAGCGATGGGTTTCTCGCGGATGCGAGGAGAATGGGACGCCTGTGGAAGGAAAGGCTGAGCTGAATCGGAGTTCGCAGAGATGGCAGGACTGGGTAGATGTTGGAAGGCCTCAGCCAGCCACAGTGCCTTTTGCATTGATTCGCTTGGTCAGTGCGTTGCTTGAGAGGATGCGGCCGGCGCCATGATTTATTTCAGCTTGCGTGCGACAGGTGCCTGCAAGCTGACATGCTAATGGCAACCGCGGATTAAAAAACCCAGTTTATTGGTGGGGGGGGTGTTCGCCTTCAAAAGTGATGATTCCCCACTCAGCCCAGGGACACCCTCTATATATCCCTCTATTAATAAAGAGGGGTTTATTAATCCGGGCTTGCTGTTCTGCCTGACATGGGCCCTGCGTTCCAATATGTCCCACGGCCAGCGCATGAGACAGACACACATGACTGGCGAAAGTGGGAAGCACAAGTCCTTTAGCCCGAAGAGTCGGCCTCTTCACGCGAAACCACTTCCGGCCCATGCCAAAATGTCCCCCAACCCGGCTACTTCTGAGCGGTGTGTATCCATGCAGTACTTGTTTGGTTGAGTGCGAGGCGTGTCGATGGACGGCGGAGAGCTGTTTCAGATGTCGGTTGCAGATGACATCAGTGACCTTGGGCCAGGCGAGTGTCAGATGGGCACGTTGGGAAATGAGGGAGCCAGCTGTGCCGCAAACAAAGCCTTGGATGAAATGCCCCTTCAGCTCAGCGACCCTTTTTCAAACAGGACTTTCATGGGAGGTGGCTGCGAGGGTGGCCTTCAAACATACCGGGCCTGGCTGCTGCTTTGCCAATGGTTTTTGTTGGTTGGCCAGGTGGTGGGGCAGCGTGGTTTTTCGGATCGCTGGTGATGATCATGATGTGCCAGCAGCTAAGCTTGCAGCGTCCAGGCAGGCTGTAGCTTCTGTAAATCAGGTAAGCCCTAGTTGGGTGGTTTGGGGGGTTGCACCCCTGGTTGTTGTGGAGGGTCAATGGGAAAGCACCCCCTAACCGCTAAACCAACAACCCAATTCTGAGTTTAAAAGCCAAACGCAGGCAAGCGCTGCTTAGGTTCACTGGCGATCCTGGCCTGCCTCGAGCAAGACGACCTCGGCGAGGCACATGCATACGGGAATCCAGATTGAGTGTGGACACGGCATGCGGCACATTGCGGGACTCTGACGAGCTGAGAAGCTCTTGTGGAATGTTGAGCCAGGTGGGGGAGGAGCAAGCCCAAAAGATGAGGCCTGCTCTTCGTTTCAGGTAACCCGTATTTGGTGGTTTGGATTGGTGGTTTGCGGGTCAACACGCCAATCCAAACCACCAATTGCGCAATTGGAGGGAAGCTGATTGTCAGCTTGCTTGAGGCCAGATGCTCCGTCAGGCTGGGGCGCTGGCAAAGGTTTCCAGGTTGAGGTTCTGTTGGTGCTGTGAGGGCCAAAGGTGACAAGCAACATGTCAGTGGTCCAAGTTGACTCCTTCCCCTCCGACCTTTCTTTTTCTCAGTGGCAACAAAGCCAACCTGCAGAAACGCAAGCTATTTCCGCACCTCTCTCGTCCTCTCTCATCCATCCTCGCTCTCGCGCTCTTGCTCTCCTCTTTCTTCTCCTCTTTGTTCCTCTCTTTTTATCTGGCTTTCTTTGTTGATTTTGCCGATGCAAAAAGCTCGGAACGGAGCCGATTGATGCAGACGATTCCGCTTCTTGCCGCTGTCCAGCCCTTCATCCTTGCTCCAATCTGCCGCGGAAAGGGTGCCAGAAGCGTTGCTCACACAAACAAAGAAAAACACAAGCAAACAAACAAACAAACAAACAACCAAAGAAATAAAGAAAGAAAGAAACAAGCAACAAACAAAAACGCGCAAGCGGACGCACACACGCCCGCCCGTCCACGCACACAAGCACCGGCATGGCACGGCGGCGCCAGCACATGCACTTGAACACGCACACCCACCCGTGCACGCACGCAAAACCCTGTCTTGCCATGCTAACTTGAGCAGCGTTTGTTCCTTCTACTGCAGGAGGCAAAAGGAGATGGGGAACTGGCATGGTGGTGCGTAGCCTACTCGTGGGACCGCGTAGCCTCGCGTAGCCTCCGCGCACTAGCAAAGGGAGCTGTCGATAATCGTCCGTGTAGCCTAGATCCTTTGTATTGGGCTAAAGGCTTAGGTTGAAAGCTTGACGTGTCTCAAAGAAAGAGGGTGAATCCTTGGCCTGGTCAGAATTGAGTTCGCTCATTCCGCGTAGCTGCAGCGTAGCGCGCGCATAGCCTCCGCTTAGCCTCCAAGGCGTTTTCAAGGCCACTGGCCCACATGCCCGCCTCCACGGCCGTTCCATCATCATATCACATCACATCGCTACTGCTACTACTACTACTACGACGAGTAGTAACTACTACGACTACTGCTACTACTACTGCGACCGCGACTGCGACTGCTACTGCTACTACTGCTACTGCTTTGCTACTGCTGCTGCTACTGCTACTACCACGACTACTCTTACTACTGCTACTTCTACTGCTAAAACGACCGCGTAGCCCCCGCGTAGGTATGTGCTTCCAGTGTGTACGCCCCGCACAATAAACCTACTAAGCCTTGCAGTTCCCCACCCGCAAGTACCATAAACACCATCCAAAGAATCAACACCTTGGCAACCTCACAGGTTTCTTCAAAGGCTGATGCATACACAGCATCCCTCCAGTTTGGGCCACGCTTTCGGAGGAACGTTGTGCACTTCAAAGTTGCCAGTAGATGCCATTTGGGCGGCTCGTCTTTTCAAGACCTGGACCCTTTGCCTCGCAGGAATCATGGCCACAGCCACCACTGCGGACCCGGGGCCTGGCTCTGTGCAGGCCGCGAGTCGGAAGGATTCGGCGGAAAATCGGTGCTTCACTGTTCTGGGGTCAAGTTGTTTGTTGTGTTTGGCGGCTGTTGGGTTTTAGTAGGTGGCTGCAGGAAACAACGGTTTTTGTTACCCAAGGGTTGTGAAGGTTGCATGCCAAGGAGTTTGTGTCAACAATTTCTTCAATAGTCCTTTCAATTGTGCGGTTCAAGCGCGCGAAACCGACGGCCTGGCCACCAGACTGGTTTTCAACAAAGAATTCCTTCATTCCGCTTTCCGATGGTGCTTCCTTTCGGCATGGCGC